CAGTACTGTACCCCAGTGTTATACTGGAGTGAAATCAAAGTTAATGTCTCAGCTCCAGCGACCTTTCCTCAGAACAAGGAGGGTTGCTAGACTCCGAGTGTTAACTCTGCCTGCTTTCTCGCCACAGAAGCTGCTCGACCTGCTGAGATTTTCCAGCATTTTCTGTTTTGCTTCTGATTTCCAGCATCTGCAGTTCTTTTGGTTTTTGTTTTGAAGAAGTGTAGGTTCCTGCCCAGATACAGCTAGTTCTCCCATAACAGGATAGCTTGTGTTCCTGTGTAAAGTCGCGCAGTAGGAAATCGCTGTAGAAAATCCCTGTAACTGTGCAGTGGAAGGTTCGCCTCATCCAAACAGTGACCGCTGTTCCGCGTTACAGCCAATTCGTGTTAATGAAACACGCCTCACAGCAGAACCCTTTGATGCTGCTTGGCCTGCTGTGTTCATCCAGCCCTGCACCTTGTTGTCTCGGATTCTCCAGCATCTGCAGTTCCTACTATCTCTCATGAACTGCTACCGGATTCCCGACCTCACTGCAGCGACTGCACTTCAGGGGATCGCCACTGCGAGGCACTGAACTCGTGAAAGGCGCTACACAAATGCTTTACCTGTTCGAGCCCACTCCCGCACACGGTCGGGCTCTCGCCAGATCTCCCGGGTTTGTTGGATCATGTCTCCAGCGGCCATCAGAGCCCCACAGCTTACCGTGTTGGTGATGAACAGATACCTGCCAGTGAAGATAGATTTCCAAACAGCAAGCAGCCGGACAGTGAAACTCGGGTTTGGAGGAGTAGGCATCCCGTACAACCGAGGGCAGGGCTAACCCACTGACTCAAGTAATTGAAACCTTCAAAAGTCACTCTCCAACAGAGATCTACTCAATTTTATTCCTCAAAGTCTCCTTGAAATTTCCAGCCAGTATGATGTTAAGAGCAAAATACAAACCAACTCCTGAAACAGCCTAAAGTCCGGCTTATTATCTAACCTTGAGGCTTTGACTCTCTATATAAAATAATTTATCTACATCCAGTATTGGTATAATATATTAAAATGCTCTTTTTTTCCTGAAAATGTATTTTCTTAATGGTGAGTTTGCACCACCTAACACATTCAAGTCCTGTTTCTATAAACCGTACGCATTAATCGAGCCCAAAGGCTGTAAAGTGGAGTTGTCTGGGATTCCTCGGACTTTTGTCCAGTCTCCAGCCACTGGTCAGCTGTGAAGGTCAGTCTGAACTCTGAAGTTTAACCTGGCACAATAATTCCAGTTTTCAGACTTCACTGCCTCCTCCTCTCAACCCTCAAATCCTGGTTCCCCTCAATGAGCTTGTCTTTCTCAGCCCATTCCCTCTCCCTAATGCTTCCACATTTCTATGGGTATCCCTAACTCAACGCCGCCCTCCTATTTCAAGAGATAACAAGGTGTAGAGCTAGATGAACACAGCAGGCCAAGCAGCATCAGAGGAGCAGGAAAGCTGACATTTCGGGCTTAGACCCTTCTCCAGCATCTGCAGTTCCTACTATCTCTCCTATTTCAACCCCCTCTCTCTCTCTCTCTTTCTATATATACCCCAGCTCCTTCCCCCTTTCTCTCTCCTTGTCAGTCTATTCCCATGTATACTTCTGTCCCTCTACACACCATCGTTAATAGCTGGATCCCATTCTGTGTCCCTATCCCTATCGAAATCCACTCACATTCACCCCCTCCTCTCTGTCTCTGTACCCCCTCTTTATCTCTTCCTCCCCCCAAATTACATATATTTTAATTTTATTCTCTCTCACACACTTTCTCTTCCTGTCACTGAGCGTCAACCACGTGCCTCAGAATCCGGAAGGAAATTACAAACACTCATCCCAGTATCTGTTTTTTCCACCAATCAGATCCAGGCACGGGTTTGATTGATACAAGGATTGGCCAATGGAAAGCAAAGTAATCCGAATTCTCTGTTACATGACGACACTATTCGCCAATCAGATCATGTCATCGTTACACATTAATATATACATATATTAATATTCAATTAGAATAGTTGGGGCTATCCCTTGATATCCTGTCGTAAACTCACCGGCACCTCCTGGAATAAGTTGTCGGAAAGTTATAGTTTACTGATTGATTATTGACTACTTTTGTTGGAGAAAAGTATAATCAATCCCCAGGCAGAATAGGCTCGAGGGGCTGAACAGCACTCCCCCACTCCTATTTCTTATGGTCTTATGGGAAGAGGGGAATTAGAGGAGATAGCTGTAGCACACAATAATGGAATTGTTACTGTGTGGAAGGAAGCCATTCGGCCCATCGTGCCTGCACCAGCTCATTAAATGAACATCATTACCTAGTGCCAATCTCCTGCCTTTTTCCCCAGACCCTTACAGCTTATTTTTATTCAAATAACCATCCAATGCTCTCATGAATACCTCAATTGTACCTGCCTCTGCCACATTTCCAGGCAGTGCATTCCACATTCCATTCTGAGGAATATTAATGGATTCAAACCATTAACTTCTTCCCCCAGATGCTGCCAGACCTGCTGAGCTTCCCCAGCAATTTCTATTTCAGATCTCTAGTAGAACCATCAGCATAACATTTACGGGATAGGAAATCTGCCATTTCTATGTCGTCTGGCCAACATGAAAAACTCCAGGTTACTGTTTAAAAATAAGGATTGCCCATTTAAGGCAAGGGACTCTCAGGGAGGGTTGTGTGCTCAAAAGAATTAAAAATTATTGACATCGCTACCCGGGTGTGCTGGCTTAGAACATAGAACAGTACAGCACAGTACAGGCCCTTCAGGCCACGATGTTGTGGCAAACTTTTACCCTAATCCTAAAGTCTGTCTAACCTCCACCCCTACCTTATACTATCATCAAACTTTCCTCCCACAATCCAAAGATGTGCAGGCTAGGTGGATTGGCCAGGTTAAATTGCCCGTAGCATCCAAGGATGTGCAGACTAGATGGATTAGCCATGGGAAATACAGGGTTGTAGGGATAGGGTGGGGGTCTTTTCAGAAGGTCAGTGTGGAGTCAATGGGCCAAATGGCCTGTTTGACACTGTAAGGATTCTGTGATTCTAAGGTTCTATGAACCAATGAGTTTATAAAGAGGAGAGCTGATTCACCCTTCCTCACCAGATTGTAACAAGTGCCATAGCTTATAGGGTTAATATTTGAACCATATTTTCCTTTCATTTAACTCAAAGGGATTCTGTCACAGAGGTTAACTTTAAAATGAAATTGCTGCTATAGTGTGACTGTGCATTGGCAGGGTAGCAGGATTCCACAAAAGGCAATCAGGAAGAAGTCAGTTAATCAGTGATGGTGAGTGAGCAGGAAATGTCAGCCACACACCAGATGGACCTGATTCTACTGGCTCTAAGTAGGACCATGGGTTAGGTTACACCCACCTGAAAGAGCAGGCAGGGGCTCGAGATTAGCATGCCACCACAGATGGTTCCACAGGCAATGTAGCATTGCGTCAGTGCTGTGCTTGGCAAGTAAGCCTGTGTTTTCTGCTTAAGTCTCTGGAGTGGATCTTGAACACGACATCTTCAAACTAGAAGCAGATGTAGGCCATTCAACCCCTTGATCCTAATCTGCCACTCGTTAAGGTCTGGGCTGATCTGTTTAAGTTTGGAATTCCACATCCCCACCTACACCCAATAACCTCATTCCCTGCCTATCAACAATCTAGCTCCTAAATGACCCGTCCTCCACTGCATTCTGAGACAGTGAGTTCCAAAGCCATACAACCCTCTGAGAGAAAAAAGTTCTCCTGATCTGTCCTAAAAGAGTGACCCTAATTTTTAAACAAGTCGGGGTTGACCCACAAGAGGAAACATCATTTCCACATCCACCTTGCAGGGTCCTCACACGCTTCAATCAAGTCACCCCTCACTCTTATAAATCTCAGTGGAAACAAGCCCAGTCAGTCCAATCTTTCCTCATAAGACAACAGATTCATTCTGGGTATCAATCAAGTAAATCTCCTCTGAACCACCAACAATGCATTTACATATCATCTTAACGCAGGAAGCCAGAGTTGCACACAGTATTTGAGATGTGATATCATAAATATTCTGTATAACTGAAGCCTAAACCTCCTTAATTTTATGCTCAATTCCTTTCATAATAAATTATATAATTCTTTGTGATTAATTGCTGCACCTACATGCTACATTTTTGTCACCCCTGCAATAAAACGCTTAGATCTCTATGCCCCTCGAATTCTCTGATTAAGCAATATTCTTTTTAAAAATTCTTCCTGCCAAAGTAAACAACTTCAGGTTTTCCCACCTTAAACACCACCTGCCACATTTTTGCCCACTCCCACAACCCATCTATATCTGATGAAGTGTCTAGGCCCAAAATGTCAGCCTTCCTGCTCCTATGATGCTGTTTGGCCTGCTGTGTTCATCCAGCTCTACACCTTGTTATATCTGTCTGCAGTTTTCTTATGCCTTCCCCACATAATTTTCTACTTATCTTAGTATTGTCTGTGGGTTTAGCCCCCATGCTTTCACTCCCCACATCGAAGTCATTGATGTAAATTATAAAAATTTGCTGCCCCAAGACGGAAGCCTGTGGGATTCCACTTGTCACATTGCACCTTAGCTACGTATTTTAGGGTGAAGTTAATCAGGACCCAGGAACCTGTCAACCTACAGCTCCATTCATTTACTCAGCACCATTTCCTTAGTGATTGTAATGTCACTAAGTTCCTGTTCCACTTCCAGCTCCTTACAGCTTTTATTGGAATGTTACAGGCTCTGCATTTATTTTCCTTTTTCACTCCATTTTCCCTCTCATGGACATCTCTTCCTCTGATTACTATAATTTCTCCATCCCAATCCTGCCAATTCTTCTAACTCACCTTTTCTCCTGTTCCTCTCTTCTCCACCTTTGTTTGTGTGTGTGTGTGTCTGTGACTGAGTGCATGTGTGCCTGTGTGTACACGCCTGTGTGTGTTTATGCCTCTGTGTGTTTATGTCCGTGTGTCTGAGTGCGTCTGTGTGTGTGTTCTGTCCCATTGAGAGCCTAGTCCTCTCTTCCACTCTTCATCAGTCTGTAGCCTTGATCTCCCCAGTATCTCCATCGTCCTGCCCAGACATTGCAATGACTAGCTTCGATTCTCTCCTCTCTGATCTGCATAAGCAACTTTACAAAAATGATTTCAGGCCCAAGCCTCCAGAGGGCAGAGTAACACAATCACATCACAATGTGCTTTCTATGTCCTCAGACATGCAAAATCAAACAATTTAAACCATTCTCAAGCTGCAAACTCCCCATAATTGTGAGCTAGAATCACCAGCAAGGGAGAGAAAAGGAAAGAGAGAGAACAAGAAAGACATGAGGAAAGAGATTCAGGATAAGAGAGAGACACAGAAGGAAAGAAAGAAGGAAAGAGAAGAATACAACTAGAGACAGAACTAGAGAAGTGAGAGAGGCATAGAGACAGCAACAGAATCAAGAGGGGTAGGATAAAAGAGTGTGAGGCTGAGTGAGGGAAATAGAGAGAGAGAAAAACTAGCTCAGAAACACCCTACACTGCAACTCTCTGATATTCCTCACTCCATTCACTGTAACACTCTGCTATACCCCACACCCCTCACTGTAACACTCTGCTATACCCC